CGACCCAAACCCATCGGTTCTCGATTCGGGTACCCGTTTAGGTATTTAATTTATGAAGAACCGCTCGGTTCGGTTCGATTCGGTTCGGGACTTTTGGACACCCCTACATGTAGATGCGTGAAAAAATACCAATTAACAACATAATTTGCAGTGTCCTCACCTAATTTCCAAGTTCAATACCCCAGCACAACTCCATTTTCACAAAAAAATAATCCTATATAATGACGTCGAGAAGGAAAAATATGAATTTCCAAATTATCTGTAGGGCTTAGATTTTTACCACGTAGAATTAATAAAGGAAAACTATATATATTTACCAATAATGGTAATATATCAGGATGGATTTGTCCATTTATATACTGTGCATCTACGTACACGTATGTATATCTTTTTCTTTTATCTTAAAAGAATTAATAGATCAATAAATGTTATACCACTTCAATTACACGGTTCGCTTCTTCAACCGTCAAATTGTCGTAAAATCCGCACAAATCAGATATTAATCGGAATACAGACAAATAGCACCCGAAACCTTCAACCAGAATTCAAATCAATAACAGTTTTCACTTCTTTAACCATAAAAAATTCGTAAAATCCACATAAAATCAAACAATAATCCGAATCCAGACAAATAGCACTCAAAACCTTCAATTAAAATTGGAAATATCATTACATACATAAACATATAGAGAGAGAAAGAAATACTTACACAGTGACACAGAAAACCAAGACGCGTGAGCTTCAGCTCTCTCTCTCTCTCTCTCTCTCTCACTCTCACAGCACTGTGCCTAGAATGAACAAAAGAATGCAAAAATTGTCGAGAGAAGGTGAGACATTTATAGAGAGAGAAAAAGATAAGAAGATCCGATTCTCATGTTGTAGACGTTGGAGTACTTAATTATTATAATTAATTAATGCAAAATGCGAATGAAATTTGGATGCGAATCCGAGTGACATGGCGGCGGTACTTTCAACCTTATATTTGCGTATTTGCATCAATAATTGGTACAAATTCATTTTGCATCTCATTTAATTTTGTTATTTTAACCCTCGAATCGATCAAACTCAATGCAAAACATCATCATGGTTCATTTTCTCTTTAAAATTCTGTAAAATGACGAATTTACCTCCTTTAAATTAACAAAAAGATAAAAAACCTGTCTAATAGAGCTTCTCAAAAAATTTTAAGCAAAATTGTGACCGTTGTTTGAGGCAGAAAGTCAGTCCCATAGCCTTAATATTGGACCATTGGAAAATGAAATTACCGAAGAAGACCACATCCCTTAAGATAATGAATAATATGAAAGGCAAAAAAGTCATTACGTCATACAATGGTCAAATATTGCGGCTATGGCGTCAGATGATTATGGAAAATGTTGAAAAGCAACGGTACAGTCGAAATTAACATTTTAATTGCAACTAGACATGCTCAAAGATAGAGAAATAGGATTCCCAAAAATTTTCAGAAAATTTTCAATCAACACCACCTACCCGTTCACGATCGTCGCCACCGCCATTACCAAAAATTTTCAATTTATATGAGAGTGTAGTGAATTTTTAATTTTTAAAATATATTCTTATTTAATATACTTTGTTATCAATATTATTTAATATATTCTTATTTTTCAATTTTTTTAATGACGTAAAATAATTTATTTTTATCATATTTTGAAAAAT